CCACCCCATCCTCTGCTGGAACTAACTGTTGCTGGCATGAGTAGAATCATCAGGGATCGGCAATAAAGTAGTGCAACCATTCCCAGGCCAGGCAGAACATAGGACTTGAAATGACACTTTTGGAGTATTACCAGGGCTCGCCGAGCCGCAGCGAGCCCTGCTCGCCAGCCACGCTATCCGGCGTTCTGCGCATGCGCAGATCACTCAAACCTGGCTCTTCCAGGATTTAATCTAGTCACCACAGGCGAGTAGATTACATAGATTGTCAAGCCCTGAGTATTACTGTGCACCTGTATCACAAAAATCAGTTCTGAGGGACTGAAATGGGATTAATCTGAGTACAGAATTTCCAATGTCTGACATGAGGTAAATTTCTGGGTAACATAAGCCTCCCAAAGCTTATTTTGAATGTACACACATATGCATAACAAACTGGGACACAGTAGCAATAAAATTCCTTTTGAAACTACACTAAAATTGCATCATTGGGAACAAATTTGGAAGGGATATAGAAGATGATATAAGGCAGACTCCCTTTCAGTAGCAGATTCCTCTACATTCAGACTGTATATCTGTTTAACCCTCCTTTTCTGATGTGTAAAGCCTCTGTAACACACCCCCAGAGGAACTGGACGAAGGTGCATGTTAACACAACCATCCCCTTGCTTTGACTTACCCCTTACGTATATACCTGCCTCCTCAGAGTGTACATAAACTTATAAACCTTTGCATGTTGGGCAAGAGGACATAAGCATGTCTAGGGCGTCTGACCGAGTGCAGGACTTTGGCACTATTTTTCACGTCATCTTTGAATTTGGTCCTTTGTATATATGTTATTTCAGATATTATAAAATGAAATATTACCTGAATATATTGTCTTGTTCTTAAAAGAGCTAATCTTTACTTTTCTTTGCAGCCGCAACAAGTGGTTCAGAAGAAGCCTGCTCAGGTAAGTAACATTTATATGAATTAATTCTGTAAATTACCTTAAAGTCCTTAGTTCTCGAACACATACATAGCAATGTTTATTGTAAGTAATGCAATTAATATTTAATAAATGGAAAAAGTGCACTGTTCATTTAAATCATCCATTAAATCCACACCATAAATTGGACCCAACCTGTCCACAAAATATTTTTTAGTATAACTATAAAACTACTTATGCATGTGCTTAGTGCTTTGATAAATACATATGAACTGCTAAGGATACAGAACTCTTCTTTATGTAAGTCTGCTTTTTTGAAGACATAGACCTTTTGCTAGACTAACTTGTGGTTTGAATGTATCGGTGTAAAAATAACCTGAATTAAGTACAGAAACAGAAAGTTCTAGTGGTAAAAAGATATAAGCTTTCCAAATGCAGGTGTAGGAGTCCCATTTCTAAAAATAAAAAAAATAAAAAATAAAACTACAACAGTGATGAATTAATACTGTTGATACAGTAGTATTGCACTCCCCTAATGGTGAAGATAACATTCAGGATAATGGAATAGGAATTCCATGTAAACTCAAATTCACCATCCATCATAGCCAGCAGAGAATGCCAGGCACAGTTCTGCTGTGCCAATAGGGACACAATTCTGGATGGGGCCTTGCATGAGGTGCATGCTTCCTACATGTTGCAGAGTTCCTCCAATGGCTGGCAGTACGACACAATGGACAGAGTAAAAGTAGACTAAGAGAAGGCTTGTGCCAGAGAACCTATTGCTGCGTGGATCCTACTATCCTCCCCTCCATTCCCCACATAGGTGGACAGTAGAGGGGGCCATATAGGGTACATCTACACAGCAGAGAACTACCTGCATCAATGAGTATGTGAGTTTGGGTCTACAGACTCAGACTTGCTGGGCCCATACTACTGCAGTAAAAGTAGCCATGAAGAAGTTCCAGCTCAGGCTCTGAAGCCTAAGAGAAGGAGTAAGTTTCAGAACCTGAGCTCTGGCCCAAGCCAGAACATCCACATGTAGAGCTGCCAGTTTTGGTTGGAAATATTCCTGTAGCTTTAATCACATAACATTGTGGCAGGACGGAACCCCATTGGGACTGTTACCTGATGTGCTGAGACACTGCTGAGCCCGCTTCCCCTGGGCACTCTGAAATCTTGTCTTGTTGAACTTAGCTTGCCAGCCTACTTCAACTGAGATACAGGGACAGGACCACACCCCCATTGCTGGAGACACAGACAGAAATCAGTAAAGTAAGAGGCCTTGTTCCTAGCACTCGAATACACAGCTCTCTCTGGGAGCTGAACCTTAGATAAATCCATCTTATACAAATAGCAATCTATTCAGTGTAACCTCATGAAATCTGCCCACTTTCTCAATGTAAAAAGAGAGATGAACAGGCTCCTTGCTCCCACACGTAGCAATTATTGGGTTTATTTCTAAGCCAAAGTGATTTTATTAAGTATAAAAATAGGATTTAAGTAGTCATAACAGATAGCAGACAGAACAAAGTAGGTAACTAAGCAAAATAAGCAAACAAATGGGGATTATGTTCTTATGTTCTTAAGATAAGTTGATACACTAAAGAAACTAGTTAATGTATAATCTCACCATGGGTTCTAATATCTTCATAGGCCAGACATGCTTCCAGCCTAGGCCCACTTCTTTTCCTCAGCTTAGATTTAGTTGTTTCCAGCAGTCATCTTGGGAGAACTGACAACCAAGATTACCTCACTCCCCACCCTTAAATAGGATTTCCATAAGGCAGGAGTCCTTTTTTCATAGTCTTGACCCCTCCCAGGTTCTCATGGAAAATTATAGAATTCAAGATGGATTCCAGATCAGGTGACACGGTAACATATCTCTGTAACCATTCCTCTGGGCTGACCCACAGGTTCCCAGGAAGGCTAAGCTCATTTACAGTTCATTGTCTCTTGCTGGTGGACCATCAGCACTGTTGCCTGTTGTACATGAAATGTCAGCAGTGGGTGTAGCCCAAAACAGCTAATATGAGATTACAGATACACAGGTCAATATTCCTAACTTAATCTACAAAAATGATACATGCATACAAATGGGATAATGATATTCAGTAAATTACAGCCTTTCTCCTGAAATGTTACGAGACGTTTTGTATCAAGCATAACTGAGTTATGACATATTATATCATAGACATATTTTCCTAAAACATATGGAGTATGACATCATCTTTAATTCCTGGAGACTCCACACCAATCTTGAAGGATTGGCAACCACATGTTTTTGCAGCATAGCATGGCATGGGCGCAGAGAGCCCAAGTCTATGAACCTGGGCTCTGAGGCTCCTTGCCATAGGGGGGTGGGCTTAGCAACTAACTCTGCAGGCAAAGGTGGGGAGAGGGGTCCCTCTCTATGGTGAACATTAGAGTTCAGATTTGCATCCTTAGAACTCCCACTTTTAATATCTTGAGTTCTTTATTCAAAACCAGAAATCAAGTAAGTAATATATTTAACATAGATATATGTAGATAATGCTTGATTTCTGAAAGGTGATCTAGGACTAGAACTATAGCTAAAATTCTGTTTACAGATACAGCATAAATATAAATGCCGTTATTTGTATGCACGTTCAACTCAAAAAACTTTTTTTAAACCCCTGGCAGCAGTGGTTTGCCACACATGTACCTTTTAGCCTTTAAATCACAGCAGCTATAATAGGCATTGCTCTGAAAGTACAATGAGCAAAGCCTCTTGCTGTCACTGAGCTCTGTTGCATGGCAGTGAATGTAGACTATCACCATGGGCGCACACTTACAGTACTAAAACAACTCTAATGCTGAAAAGAAAGAGAGGTAGCAATGGGAAAATTGGGAGCTTGACATAATTGGTCTTTGTTCTGTCCAATTGCCTTTCGCTCTTTTCTTTTACATGACTGAATTTTCCTTTAAAGGAGAGGAGTTCAGACTCAGAATTAACAGCAAGAACATGAGCTCATGTGAGCTTCCTAATCTGAGCTGTCTAAGGAAATAGTGATAAATTATATAAACATGGGGACTACATGGAAGTTCATGAGGATAATGTAAATCTTACACTGCATTCAGAGGAATCTCTTCCTTTTCCATCTGTTTCCTTCAAAATACCCTCACAGATGGCTTTTCCATGTGGCAGTCTGGATTAAGTTAGAAGCGTATCTTTTCTTCATCAGCGGGGCTTTGAGAGGTTACGTTCAAGCACTGCCATGTGGTAGTGAGCATGTTGCCACAGTCTGGTTGAATAAGAGAAGCGTAACCCTTGATCAGACTTATCACTGAATACTGTGGTTTGAATTTCTAGAGATGTTCATTCTCAAGGATTTTGGATTAGTATTAGTTTACATCCAGCTGGTAACCTTGTTGCCATCTCAGATGGCACAACTGTTATTTTGCATTTTAAAAGACACAGAAGCAAAAGCAGATATAGCTCCCCTTGTAGTCATAACAGTTCTGTAAATGTCACCATCTCCCAGGTTTTAGGCATCCTCTTGGTCTCAGGCATTCTCTAAATCTCCTTTTATGGACAGCTGCTATCCAGTTCAAGGCCATAACAATGCTGTGATATCATCAAATAGCCACAGAACCCTGAGGATTTCCCATCTTGCAGCTGGTAAATACAACAGCAAGTTCCACTGAGGAGAGATAAGTCCATAGAATCAATGCAAACATGTACATCATATCATCTGTGTGTATTCATGATGGTCACCAAGTAACTTGTATCAAGGGGGAAACACACAAACCACAGTGATCTTGCTCTGGAAAATCTAACAGCAAGTATCAGAAAGTTAAGAGTCTCTGTGTGGAACAGGTGTCTAAAAATCTCAAAAGATGAGAAATCTCAGGTATCTGCTTCAAATATGATTTAGTCACCAGAAAAAAACAAACAGATCTTATAGTAAGATCTACTATATTCTCATTTAAGTGACTTGAAAGTAGGAATAAGAGATCCTCCGGAAAAGGCTTTATTTTCCGGAGAATCACGTCTAGACTGGCGCTTTTCTCCGGATTATCTCCAAGACGGAAAAAAGCGGCAGCCATGTTAATGCAAATACCGCGGGGGATATTTAAATCCCCCGCGGATTTGCCTATTCCAAAGTGCTACATTAGCATCCCTTTTCTGGAAGGGATGCCAGTGTAGACACAGCCGACATGTTTTATTTTTATCTTTTCTGCACAATAGAAATAGTCTAAAACAAGCTTTTGAAACTGTTAAATGATCCATGGGGGATGAGTGAGGTTTAAAACAGAGGTGTTAGAGTGTCTGGGTCTGATAACTAAATTCAGAAGACAGAACATGAGTCCAAACATATTTTACCAGCAGCTAAGTAGCTTTTTTTTTATCTAATAGAAAATAAATTGCTTAAATTAAAAAAAAAAGCAAACAAACAACAATAATAACAATACCAGGAAAAGAGCAAAGTATTATTTTTGAATAGGTAAAAAGGGCAAATAAAGTACATGCTTGTATGTGTCTTACTTGCTAAAGAAGGTCCTGATTCAGGAAAGAATACCTGTCATTATTATAGTTAAGTATCAGAGGGGTAGCCGTGTTAGTCTGAATCTGCAAAAGCGGTGAGGAGTCCTGTGGCACCTTATAGACTAACTGAAGTGTAGGAGCATAAGCTTTCGTGGGCAAAGACCTACTTCATCAGATGCATCTGACGAAGTAGGTCTTTGCCCACGAAAGCTTATGCTCCTACACTTCAGTTAGTCTATAAGGTGCCACAGGACTCCTCGCCATTATTATAGTTAAGCACATGTTTAAGTGTTTTCCTGAATTGGAGTCTAAACTTTGTTTCAGCAACTTGAAACCTGCAAGATGCTGCCTGCCCCTTTGCAAGGAATGGCATGCCTTTCATTGACTCCACATTATTTAGTGTGACACAAGTTGAATCACCAAGTAACTTGTATCAAGGGGGAAACACACAAACCACAGTGATCTTGCTCTGGAAAATCTAACAGCAAGTATCAGAAAGTTAAGAGTCTCTGTGTGG